TATAAAGTAATGACCTTGGATCTCCACCTCTCATCTTGAGGAAGACTTCTAAGAACTTTTCTTACCTGTTCATCAATGGGTATGGACCTGCCTAAAGATTCTAACTCATTTACAATGTTAGTAAATCTAGTGAACATATCCTGAATGGATTCTTTGTGTAGCATTTCAAATCTTTCATATTTTGACATCAGTAAGTCAATTTTGGAACGTTTAACTTCATTTGTTCCCTCATGTGTTATTTGCAATAAATCCCAAATCTTCTTTGCGGACTTACAACCCATGATTCTATTGTGCTCATGAGGTCCTAGTCCACAATGCAAGATTATCACTGCTTGAGCATTTAACTCGTATTTTTCATAATCTTCTTTATCAAATTCAACTTTTGTTTTAGGGATTACCTCTTTGTTTGCATTGGTTTTTGTTACCTCAAAGTCACCGCTTTCAATGACTCTCCATACTTGATAATTTTCAGGTTTGATGAATATCTCCATTCTATTCTTCCAGTATGAATAAAACTTGCCATTGAACATCGGTGGTCATTGGGTAGAATACCCTTCTTCAAGTTTCTCGTGCGCATTCATCTCTTCACGAACTTTGCTCTACAAGGTTGCTTGTAAATTCGTGAGAACCTGCTCTGATACCAATTGTTAGTTTAGATGAACTACTACAAGAGGGGGGTGAATGGTAGTAGAGTCCAATCGCGGAACTTATGCGGAATATTAAAAACAAAATGTAAAGGAATTTAAAACACACAACAAGTTTTACGAGGAAACCATCCAGTGCCTAGCTGGAAGTAAAACCTCGGTCCTATTGGGACTTATAAACAAATTCCACTATCATAGGCAACTCTCCTAGTACAACCTATTACACAGACCTTTGCTTCGCAAGTTCCTCCTCGGACACTTGCTAATTGATAAGAACCTATTCTATCAGACCCAAGACACACTCAGGTTCCTTTCTCGACCTAAGACACACTCATGTTCCTTTTTCTCAATGTGCAAACCAAGACACACTCGGGGTGACTAACTACCACTCGAATTTTAGAGAATTCAAACTCATACACTCAAACATGAATTTAAGAGAATTCACAATCTCACCCCAAAACCAATTACAACACAAAGACACACTCTAACACACAAATGGAAAGCTACACATGAAACCCGAAATCAAAATGATAAAGCTTAAACCTTTGGTAAACTTACTTTTCATGCTTAAAACTCTCATTTTGCTTTTCTGAATTGCTTCTATATTAATAGAGGTTCCTTAGCTCACAAAATAAGATTTTCATAAATAAGATAAGTTAAACAGAATTCTAATCTTATCTTTTTAAAACTGAAACCAAAACAGATTTAATTTCGTTTTATTTGTAAACCAAATTTTATCAAATTCGTTTAGTTAAAAGATAGAATTTTATGAAAAAGATAAAACCGAGTTAAATCAGATTTTTAGGATTAAATCAAATAAATACTTTTTCACAATTATATTTTACGAATTGATTAGTTTGCCAAGCCTTATCTGATTTCTAGTAAGTTCCATGCATAACAACCATTAATGAGTTTACATCAACCTACAAAACAAACTTATCTTTTATACAACTATAAGTTATGAAGTCCATCTTTTTCGGTTGATATCTCGATCTTTGCACTGATCCTTGGTTGTTGAGTCTTGCCCCAGCATTACACTGGAACCAGGTCGTTACAACCCGTTTTGAAGTTCCTGTTAAGAAACTTCGGGAAGTTTCATTGCTGGAACTCTTCTTTTGTCTTTACTTGCCCTCATGGATCTTCTAAAGTTCCTTTGTCTCAGTTCCTACTTCAGCTCCCAACGCATACTGAACCTGCAAACATCACAACACTAGAAAATCCTTATTAAAAGGAAGTTTGCTCAATTCTTAACATCATCATCAAAACCTCATAAGGGTCAACAAATATCATGTATGTTTCTATGATGCTTCCTATTCTTTCCTTCTATCATGTTAGTATCATACTAGTGTTAAACCTTTGATCTTTATTATTTAGTGACATGCTAGGATTTTTTATTAATCTTGTTAGTATTATACCCAGGACTTGCTATCATTATTATGCTTTGAGATTGAGAATACTATTATTTTGATGATGATTGTTGCTTGATATTTATTATTATTATTATTGCTTGATCACGCCTTTTATATATGTTTAAAGGGAATTTGTACTTGCAATCACGCTTAATAAGATAATTAATAATCTTGTTTAGGCTGATATCATTATAATTCAAGTGATCGCCAATAATAGATTAGTTGTGCATTAATATTCAACCAACATAGATTAAACAGGTTTAGGGTTAATCTATTGATTGTATGTTAGTCAGAAAGCGCACATGAATACGAGAAGAATAAAGTAGAGGTCTATTATTAGGGAAGGTTCAATCTCTTTTAGGTTGGATTTGTACCTTAATCCCTAAATATCCAGTCATGGTACCAGACCTATGGAGTTAGCGATCTCATGGATCTATAAGGGGTGTAAACTTCACCCTGTGAACGGTTACAAGTTCCTAAAACTTGTTGGCGACTCTTTTACTCTAGCTTCCTTCCCTTTGGACGCCACCATGCTTAAGTGTATGATCATAGTGGGGCTCAAGTGTTTGATGCTTGAAATATTCCCTACATTGGGGTCTGACACACTTTTCTAGGATCCTATAAATAAGGATATTTCCCCATTTATTGGAGCACTTCTTACTTATTACATCATTTATTGCTCTCGAAAACAGAGAACACCTAATCTCGGAATCCGAGAAGATATTTACTTTTCGCACGTTTTACTCCGAATCGTACTAACTTAACCTTCGGAGGCGGACCTCCGAACATCCGGAGCTTCGTTGTTTTATAGGTACAGGTGGCTTCGTTGGATCCAGTCTTTGAGTCGTAATATAACTCTCCCAAGGGACACAAAACACCCGAAATAGCTAATACTACTACTACTGCAACTACTACTGCTACTATTGCTACTACTATTGCTGCTACTATTGCTACTACTACTGCTACTGCTACTGCTACTACTGCTACTGCTACTAATACTACTGCTGTTACTACTGCTCCGAATCCAGTCTTCTTGGTTGTTTTGGGGAAGGAGGGTTACTGTAATACTTCGTATTTTTATGTATTTTATAAAGTATTTAAGTATTTATAAAATATATTTTTAAGGGATCAAGTATTTTAATTAAATGTTGTAAAGGGTTAAATAATATTTTAGGTCAAATTCTTATCAATTATTTGGGCTCATTTAAAATATCGTATGTAAACTAGTCCTACATACTCTTATTAGAATAACTCATTTCATTTAAATAAGTTCAACCTTTTATTTGAACCCCAGTGGGTAAAATATTACATAACTTAAGCCCAGTTATTTATTGAGCCCAAACTTAAACCCTATTCTCTACTTTATAAATATCCCACTAAACCCAAAAAATTTTCCCACACAAAGAGGTTTGAAAATAAGATTTTTGGGGTAAGTGTTATATTCTTTCTTTCTCTTAACTTTTTTTATATTTCTCTTTCTTTTCTTTTCTTCGTTCTTTTCTTATACTTTCTTTTTCTTTTTTCTTTTTCCCACTAATGATGTTCATGTGTGAACATCATTCGCCCAAAACAAGTGGCCACCTCATGCCACCCTCGCTGCCACTTCACGCCCAGCCACCACCGGCCGGCGACCTCACTTGCCGGCCAGTCACGGCCAACACTGTGAGCCACCATCTCCTCTCTCTTCCTTGTTTAGTGTATATATATATATATATATATATATATATATATATATATATAGGGTCAAATGAGAAGTTCCTTAAAATAAGAAGAATGAGAAGGATTTTTTGTGCATAATTTTTGTACTAAATGTGCATATTTTTTGAACTAAATGTGCAAAAATGAAATTCGACTCAAATTTGATGTGCATATTTTTTAAAAAAATGTACATAATTTTCGTTTTTCCAAAAAAATAAAAAAATTTATCAGTTTGAAACACAATTATGCACATTCAATATAAAAAAATGCACATTTAGTATAAAATATATGCACATTTGATCTTTCTCATCCTTCTCATTTTAAGGTCTTTCTCATTTTAAGGTCTTTCTCATTGGATCTCAACCCATAACTAGAAAAGGTTTTCTTTGGTTTTAATATAATTTTCAGATTTATTTGAGGGGTTTAGACCTTAAAAAGTATGCTAGAATTTTTATATAACTATAATTATATTTTTACTTTGGGGTTTTAATTGCCCACTTAAAGAAAGAGTTTTAAAGGTTTTAACCCAAAATTTAAGCTTGTTAGAGAGGTTTTAAGGTGTTTAAAAGTTGCTGGAAATTTGTATAATCAAGGGATTAATTGAATTATATTTGGTATTGTAGGAGATTTTAAGTTGAGTAATTTCTAGCATTTTGGCTAGTTGGAAAGACGAATTGAGGTACGTACGTGTACTCGGAAATTTATTAAGCGTGTAGAAACATGCTAGGATTTACTTAATTGATTCCAAGTTGGTGTCATGCTAGGAATTGATTGGAATGGTTTAATTGAAATGAGATTGGTTATTTGAATTGGATTGATCGAATTGAGAATGGTTTAGGTGAATTATTTGTGAAGCATGATTGGTTGAAATAAATTATTTATTGGAATTGGTGATATTTAAATATTGTCATTGAACCATATTTATATTATTGGCATGTTGGAAGGTTTGTTTAACTAAACTAAATGTTTAATTTGGTTTGGAATATTAAAAAGTAATTTAATTATGGTTCATATAATTTTTATTGCTGCTATAAGCATAAGGAATGAGCTATTTAAGTGTCTTTGTACACAAGGAATAAATTATATTTTGGTGTCTTAATGCACTTATGGCACGTTTGGTATTGTGGATTTCATTTTAAATGATGGAATTGGGCCAAATATGTTGTTTGGCTATATTAAGAATTTGGATTTATAATTGGGCCAAATCCAAGGTATGCAAGAAATATGGCCACTTTTAGGAATTTGAAATCCATTATCAATTCATGTCATTTCAAATCCAATTTCACTCTTTCTCTCTCCACGATATTTTCTAAGTAATTTTTTCCCTAAATCGTTGCTCTCTCTCCTACCTCTCTCTCTCTCTCCTGTGCCGCCATTAGAGAAGCTGAGGTCAAGCTTTTTCTCTATCTCCAATCTCTTTCCTCAGGTATGCTCTATCTCTCTTTGCCATTTGTAATTGTTGTTCATTAGCTAGTTGCAATTCTTAACCCTAATTTCTGTAATTTGATGAGATTTGTAAATTTAATCAACCCTAATTTTTGCAATTTGATGATAAATAGCACTGATGGCTGCGATTGTATTATTTTTATTATCTTTGATTGTGGCTTTTTGCTAACGATTTTACAGCAGCTTAGTATGAATTGATTTGCATGAATTTTTTTCGTGATTTGTGTTGATAGTTTGATTAAATAGGAGCTGTCTTTCAGTTTGATTTTTTTCGCTCTTTTTTTTGTTCATTTTTACTATAAATTTAATTGATTTGTGTAGTAAAACGCTAGTATTTCAACGCACTCTAGGTGTTTGATGAAATGTTAAAGTGAGAAATTGTTTTCAAAATAGTATCTTTGCTCTCTGAATGTTGGAAATTTGAGTGTTCTTATTTGAAATGCTATGATCAATTGATTTTCATGTTGTTCTATTGGAGAGCTTGAGTAGAGTAACTTGGCCAAGGATTACTGCCTGAGGGGTATAATAATGGAGTGTATGGCTTAGGCAGTAGTAGCTTGGCCAAGATTACTTATTTCATGAAACTCATTTCTTGTACAGTCACTTTCATGTTCTGCTTCTTGCTTGTTTAGGCTTCCATTCCCTAGGATTTTTCTGAGTAGTTATATTTAAATCAGGGACCATTCTTACCAACTGAAAGGAACTCTCAAACATTTGTCAAAAAGTCAGTTTTTCTGATCTTCTTAAGAGTTGTTGTGATGCTGATTATACAAAATACAGAGTTGCTGTTCAAAAAATAGAACTTCCTAAGCCGCTGCGTATCAGAATAAATTATTGCTGACTATATGTTAAATTATTGTTGTTTTTCTGATTATAGTTTGCCTTACATTGATGTTGATTATTGCTAATGTAGGAAACTACCCAAGCCGCTGCACATCAGAATAAATTCATTGAGAATTGGGATGATATTTGTACTTTGTTTGCTTCGGATAGTGCAACTGGGGAGGGAGCTGAGCATCATGATGAGGCTGCTGATGCAATGGACACCGAAATTGAAGGGGTCAGTACCTCCGAGACTCCTTCTGGAGGATCAAACAAGAGGCTCAAGAGAGATTGTCTAGCAGATGCATTGAGTTATTTTGCAGAGTCATTCAAGGACTATGTGAGCAGAACGCAAGGGCCACCGAAGCCAAGTTCACAAGAGATCTACGAGGTAGTCTTGAGTGTACTTGGGATCTCGCGTCACCAAGTCCTACAAGCTGTGAAAAGGTTCATGAATGTGACAGATGAGTTCGAAATGTTAAATAATCTATCGGAGGGGGAAAATTTAGATTGGGTTTTATTATGTATTAATGATTAGTATCTTTATTTAGATGTTTGTGAACTAAAACTACTAGCTCGATCTTGATATGTTGTCTTTTTGTTTACAGTTTGTTACAAAATGTACCTTGGTTTAAAATTCAGAATTTGAAATTCCTTGTATTTCCAAACAGCTAATTAGAATTTGATATTCAGGATTTGAAATTCATTGTATTGCCAAACAACTTTTAGAATTTGAAATTCAAAAGTGTAAATTCTTAACTTTCCCAAACATAGGACTCCCAAACATAGGACTTGGAATTGAAATTTTAGAATTGAATTCAACTATTTAAAATGAAATAAGTGTATCCAAACGAAGCCTTAAGGTGTTTCTAATACCGAGGGATAGGAATTGTGGCGCATTATGCGTTTAAGGTGTTTTTGACATCGAGGTAGATTAAAAAGGGTTCAACATTAAATATTATGTGGTCACTAATCATCAAGAGGAATGTTTAATTGTTCGAATAATTATTGTGATTGTATGATTATGGTTTGAGAGTCATCACCAAATTAAATAATATGTAAATAACGTAAAGTGAAAGAGATTACGCACCAAAACTCTTGGAACGTATATACCTTGAGTATGAACATATGGGGGGAGTTATGGGGTTTTATATTTAACCATAACTTCTACTGGGGGTATAGGATGTTGTACTTTCCATTTTATTATGCGCAAGAAATTCGCCACTTACGAGTGGTTCTTTTATACTGGCACGGTTATCTCCGTGTTAGTACCCCTTTATTGGGGCAGGTTAGGGGGGAAACCTGTTCAATGCGTAATCAAGTTAAATATATAAATTAGTTATTTATTGGATGGTCATGTTGTATGTTTGTAAACGGGTGCAACAAGGTAATTTGTGTGATGATAGGGTGAAAGCATGTTGTAGGGAATAATTTCAAGCCTTAATACCACTAGCTTGAACCCCACTGTGGTCATACACTAAAGTACGGTGGCGTCCAAAAAGGAAGAAGATAGAGCAAAAGAGTCGCCAACAAGTTTTTTTTTAGGAACCTGTAAACCGTCCATAGGATGAAGGTTACACCCCTTAACGATCCAAGAGATCGTCAACTCCATAAGGTCATGAACCAAATAAGGGTTCGGGGATGATGGTACAAATCCAACCTAAAAGAGATTGAACTTGCCCTAATAATAGGCCTCTACTTTATTCTGATCGTATTCATGTGCGCTTTTTAATAGCATGCAATCAATAGGATTAACCCTAAACCTGTTTATCTATGTTGGTTGAATATTAATGCACAAATAAACTATTATTGGCGATCACTTGAATTATAATCACAATTAACCCTAACAAGATTATTAATTATCTTATTAAACATGATTACAAGTACAAATTCCCTTTAAACATGCATAAAAAGGCGTGATCAAGCAATAAAAATAAATATCAAGCAACAATAATAAATAATCAATATCATGAATAATAATCATAATAATAACCATAATCATCATTATAAAATTATAATCATCATCAAAATAATAATAATCATAAATAAAATAATCATCATCAAAATAATAATAATAATAATATTCATGTTAATATTAAAGCATAATAAAAGCAAGATCCTAGGCATGATACTAACAAGATTAATAACAAACCCTAGCATGTCACTAAGCAATAAAAATCAAATCTTTAACCCTAACACGATACTAACAATCATAAATATTAGGAAGAGAATAAAAGGCATCATAGCAATCATATTTAATATTAAAATTACCCTGGACATGATACTAGGAATCAAAATCAATCTAAGCATGATTTCTATATCATAATATCAATTAAAACCATTAAAGCACTTACTTTGATGCCTCGTACCTCTTTCTAATAACAAAAAACACACGTTAGTAACTTCAAGGAAAATAATAAACAAAACAATCAAATTAAATAATTGAAATAGAGATTTGGGACCAAACCCTCAGAAATTAAACCTTTCACGTCTATAGCGAAGGCAACTTCAAATATGGCTAGGTGTTTCTAGGTCTTGCGAATACGGAATTTTGTATGAAAACACAAAGTAAGAAGAATGATGAATGAAGAATGCTAATTAAAACTAATTGTAGAACTTGTGAATGATGAGAATTGGATGATTAGAGAGAATGGGTGATGAATGAATGAATGTAGATGAGAATTGATGATGAATGGTGAATGAAAACGGAGTTTTTAATACGATATTTATAGAGAAAATCAGCCAAAAAGATAAATTAAACAAAACAGAGTCAGACGCTCAGAAAACAGAGCTGGCGCCAACCCTGGCTAGCTGGCGCCAGGCACCAACACTAGCGCCAGGCCTGGGGTCAGACGCCAAGCTTAAATTTAACGCGTTTTCGAAAATCCGATAAGTTTACCGTACTAGAGGATAAAATCATATAATTTCTTCGAAAATGCTACTTGATTTTAATTAAAACTATGAAAAGTCAACAAAAGTCAATTTATCAATGCTAATTGAATTAGGAATGAAAAGAACCTTCTAAAAGATTCTAGAAGACTAAAACCATTCCTAATTGCATTAGGAATGATAAATCATATTAGGCCCTCCCCTAGATCATTGGGCCGCATATAAAGCTCAAACCGGGCCCATTTTAGTAAATTGGCCATAACTTCCTCCATATTCATCGGAATTGGGCTTATAATATATCGTTGGAAAGCTCTTGTCAAGCCCCATCCAACTACACTACTACTGGACCCATATCATGGACCAACCAAACTGGATTGGCTGTTTTCTTAAAATAAGTTTTCAAAAACAGGGAGAAGAGAAAGGAATTAAAACTATCCGCAACGCTAGACTTTCCACACTTTCACTTCATTCGATTATGATTCGAAGCGAAAGGTACTCATCACCGGGTTTTGTTTTGGGGAGACACAAACGGGTGTCTACAGAAGCCCCCACTTTGACTGAGTTTGGAGAAACGCCAGTTTCAAAAACAAAAGTCAAAGTGTAGCGATAGGGACGGAGAATGATTCAGAACGTTCTGCAATCCTAAATCACTCTTGTAACGCCGATACCTGCAAAACTAGCGTTAGTTAAACAGATAAAAGAGTTAAGAAACGCGTATCTTGCACCGTCGAGCACACGTCTCTGAAAGTAACCAATTGTTTTGATGACCTCCTGCAAGCTAGAGAATGCCATCCCGCTTGAAAACCGCTACGCATGTAACTGCTTCCAAATTAGAAGATTAGTTCGCCTGAAACGATCCTCCTCCGCATTGATAATATTCCACGTCCAAGGGAATACCATCGAAGATTATTTCTCTTGAAACAATCTCCATCCGCATTGATAATATTCCACATCCTAGGGAATACCATCGAAGATTATTTCTCTTGAAACAATCTCCAGTTGTTTGTGACAACTTTCCGCAAGCTAGGGAATGATGTCGAAGATTTCTTCTGAAGTCATCCTCATTTGATGCGATAATTTTCCAAAGGAAATTACCGAAGATCCACGCCTGTCGATCTTTAAAAGTTCGCCTGAACTTTGCTTCCGGCATGCCTGTACGTCGGCACTTTGCTGCTCGGAACCAGTATGTCGGTGCTTTTGCTGTGATGACAATCCTCTTTTCTTTGGGAATAGTTGCCAACACAACTCTTGTATGATGTATGACAATCCGATTTAGGAAAAGTTGTCAATGCTTCGTAACAATCCATCCTTGGAAATGTTGCCACGATGAAACGACAATCCGTACCTCGGAAAATTTGCCAAAATCCCATTTTTGAGAAAAGTTGCCAATGTTTCGTAACAATCTTTCATAAGAACTTTGCTACGATCGACAATCCACATCTTGGAATATAACTCTTGAAAGCAATCCACCTTGGAAATTTGCCAACGCTATGCAACAATCCTTTTGGGAAAATATTGCCACTATTGACGATTCGCGTCTTGGAACATTTGCAAAACAGATTCGACCGACAATCCACTTCGGGAAATTTGCCACTTATTGAAATGAATGACAATCCACGTTGAGGAACCTTTGCCGAAATTTATGATGAGTAGAGACCTACGACAATCCTTTGGGAAATTTTGCCATAGGGAACTGGGTGTATGACAATCCAATCTCGGAAAACTTGCCAGCGATCTATGAATGTATGACAATCCGAACTTGGAAAAACTTGCCAAACAAAGAAGGAGCACGACAATTCACGCTTGGAAACTTTGCCAGAGTTGACAATCCAATTTTGGAAAAATTGTCGTTGAAGAAGATGCACGACAATCCATTTTTGGAAATATTGTCAGTTGGGGATGACAATCCAATTTTTGGAAAAATTGTCATATAAGTGCTTGCTTTTGAACCGATTGTAATGAGCCAGTGTTTTAGGCTCTTAAGCTAAGTGAGACAATCTTTCATCAAGTCGACCACTTATTACGATTGTAATCGAGCCGACTACTAATCATGTCAAATTGCTTATAGGGGCTAACTGGCGTACCAAGGAACCCGAAATTGCTGCATGAGGTCGAAATCACCTTTCTGAGAGGCTTTGAGCTCTGTCGCTGCTGAAATATCTCTGGCGCCAAGTTTTGGAGTAGGGTCCTCCTTATTCTGCTGCGCCTGTAATTATTTTGACTATAGAACTTTGCCAATCTTTTTAATTATCTTAGGGTTGACCTAAGGCTTAATGTTGCTTGACTCATCAACTTGACACGACTCAAGGCATAAACTTGACTCGCTGTGATTGACTCGAGGTTGACTCGACTCAAAGTGTTTGACACATGTATTAGACTCAAATCAAAGTGATATGACACGACATGACTCAATGTGTACATGACTTGTGTGTGCATTGTAATGTGATCGTGCGACTCGAAAATGCAAAAAAGCAAAAATTTTCTGTCATTTTTGTGGAGGGTACCGACTTTCTCCCGAAAAAGAAAGACGCGAAAAAAGAATCGAAGTTTTCGAATGCATGTTGAATGAGCTTAGTCAAATGTTATTTTATACTATCTCTCAAGGTGCAAGGATTAATCCATCCTAGGCTATCTCAATGGTTGACTCAATGATGAAAGTATTTGGGTAACTTAGGCACGGAGGCTAAGCACTTCATACTTCTATGTAATGACAATTATGATTGATGGGTGATTTTGACGAAGCATGCTTCAACGTTAAGATTTCATGACAAAGGGTTCCTAAGGGAAGTATATTTGGTCATGTATCTGTGCAA